AATTTCCGCGGGGACTGGATGATGTGAAATAGAGAAGAATATCCTGTCGGTGGCGTGACGTGCAAGACGGGCCATAATAGAAACACGCCGGTGCAACCAGCCCGAGGGGGCTCGCGGGTTTTCCGTTATGGAATTCGACGGGGGTTGGGGACGGGTAAATACTGGGGAAATTGGAACTGGCTCGGGGACATTACGAATGAAATTTGCGACGCGTTTAACCCGTTGACCGTCGAATTTTCTCGTCAACTGCGTTCCTCGCGGACTTCGAATCGAGTGCCAGACTTGTTATCGTTCGATTATGAACATGAAATTGTTGCTGTTCAGTTCCCGGTGATGAAAGGTTCTTGTTTTATCGAAAGATTGAAGGGAACTTCGGTGTTTAATCCTTTGCACTCGAGAAGTGACTCAATCACCACCTGATTTCATACAGTACGATTATAAGATTTGATATTTAATATTACAGCTTGTGTCACGCATCTATTTGAGAAATATTTAAATAAAATAGCTTTGTTCCTCAATGTACGTATGATTTCGAGTTTCATAAGATATTGTTTTCAGCTCGTCAGAAAATGTTAAAATATTTCTAATGAAAAACTTTTTTATATTAGAATTCTTCGAAGTCTATGAACACGTTGAATGCCGCACGATTTTATACAGTAGAATACACAAAATGAAGAAAAATATGATATTAACCCCTTAACGCACAGTTTTTTTGAAAAAAATCAATTTTGATATACTGCGCTTTTGTTCCATGGAAAAAGGCTATATTTTATTCTTGAATAAATAAGTGTTATAGCTTACAATCCCATGTAAATGATAAATTTTTTTCTTTGCTTTCACATTATTATTTTCACAGTTTGGCCTGTTTAGCGCGCTCGAATTAACTCGAGCGTACAAGTTAAGGGGTTAAATCATTTAATTGAATTGCGTTATTATTATTACATATTCATCCAGCTGAAAATCACCGCATCGAGTAGCATTGTCCATAATGTAGAAATATCTTCAAATAATCGTCATTTAATTGAGTGAACTATAGTTATTCAATTTGGTCGGCGGTCACCGGTGACCCCCACGGCATTCAACGTGTCAAACACCGCCGCGAAGGTTCTAAAAACGGTATCTCCAATTTTCTACCGACTCTATTTCTATCTTCCTCGAACAAAAAACGCGATCAAATCTATTTCCCATCTTCCCGCTGCATCGCACTAATACGCACGGCCGCGCGAAACGCGAAGTCTAGTCGATGCGCGCAAAAACGGAAAAAAGGAGCGCGGCAGAAAGAGAGATAGAACAAAAAGTACAAATTGATCGACCATTTCAAAACATCACCCTCGTCGAAAGGAATTGTGATTCGGGAATCGTATCAAAGCCATTTTCTGGGGATGGGGCCGGGCTCGGTGAAGCGGAAGGGAAAAAGCGGAGGACGGAGCGGGGCGCGGGCGGAGGGTTGAAAAACGTGGAAAAAGGAGCGCGGAATGGCCGAGGGCGCACCTGTACCAACGATGGATCCGCGTCAGCATCCGGACCGGTTAGAAATTCGTCGAGCCGAATAAATATCCGTGCTCCGAGGCCTCCGCTCTCGAACTAATTCTGTAATTGGGGCCTCCATTAGGGGCGGCGGGCCTCGTATCGAGGACAAAACCGCCTCTCCCCAATTCAATCCTTCGACAATGCTGGTCCTCTAGTCTTGTTTGTCTTTTTCTGCTTCCTTTTTTCCTTATCGATTATCCTGGAACGGACAGCCCTTTCAGACGATAATTCCTCCTTTTCAGATGTATCGGGGTTAGGAATTCGTTCGCGTCTTTCTCCGAGGGACTCCGGAGTCTTCGCAGATTTCGAACGGGAACCTCGTTTCCTTCCGTCCTCGCGACTCGTCGATTCGGAAATCAGTTCGAGTATTGTTCCTATGGTTAGCTGATGGAAACGTTTTGAGCTTCTGTGCTTCCTTCTGCTTCGATTAATTGGTACTCAGGGATTTAGTTGAGATTTAGGACCTTGAATTTTCGTAATGGAAGTTCTATTAGGAATATTATTCTCATGATAGGAAAATAATATTCTTCACAGTTTGCTCTTTAACTCTAGAAGAAAACATTTTTAACCCCTCGGCGTACTATTTACTTTCGTTACTAAGCTCGTGTAATACTTTACTATCGACGATTTGTAAGAAATACAAAATTTTCCATTCTACTTCAGCTGGAAATTTCATCTGAAGATAATACATTGATAACAGCAAAAAATAGTTTGCTTTGATCCGTGGATAATGAACAACATTGATCCTTGTTAAATTAGTTTAGAAATCTTCATCACGAGTCTCACTCGTCATTGTACGGCAAGGGGTTAAAGACGAACTCCGGTTGGAACTATCAGAATTATTTAGCTAATTATTTTTCTGAATCCTCGCCTATTCACCAATTCCTTGGTAATGTCCTTGAGGACGAACTCTGGTTGGAACTATTAGAATTAAAAAAAACAAGGGGTTAATAATTCATCCAAAAGACACCAGAAAATTTCCCTCGATGAACCCCTACTTCATCCTCCCGTCTCACCGACCCGAAAACTACATCAGAACTCAATTCCCACCGCTTACATTCCTTACTCACCCCTCCGGCAGAACCCCCAAAAATTCGGAAAATCCCAAAAAACGCTCGCCGTCCCATTACATTTCTACACTTCCGTTGCTCTCGCGAACCCTTTGTCTCTGGAGCGCGATCATCCCGCTCTCCCGCCCCGCGCGAGAATTTAAATTACCCGTCACGGGCACGGAATAGTTTCCTCCTCATACCGGGTGCGCCACCGTTCCGTACGTAAAATTACTAGACCGGCCCGCGAGAAATACAATCGTCGTTGCCCCCGGCGTGAATTACAACCAAAGAAGTCGGCAAGATATTCCCTGTGCCGGCGCGGCGCGGCTCGGCTCCCTGGGGGTGGGCCGGGGGTGGACAGCGGGCGTCGCGTCGCGAGGAGGGTCCCGCCGATCCGCAGTGTCTCTGGCAGGGGGCGGCGGCGCGGCCGGGGGCGTAGGTTTACGAGCGAGTTGCTTACACAGGATGCAAATTCTACGGCACTAGCTCAACCTAATTGGTCGTTGACCGTCGTGCACGGTGGATCCCTATATTTACGCGTCGCCAACTGCGACAAACTGGAATCCTATTATTTTACGGGACCGCTGATTCAGCGGAACGTGTAACTGGAGCGTATTCTAATGGCCGGCCGGCGATTAATTAACCGATCCCTCAACCACGTCCGAGGTGTTACCGGCTACGGGCCGGCGTTCCCGTGACCGTTACGAGGCTGGAGGACACTTTCGATTTCTTGGGGTGCCGTCCGGATTCCGGGGTTCTTAGGGTTGTTAACGTCGGCCTCTTGGACCGTTCGGGTGGATTTGGGAATATTCCTCGCTGGGAAACGGCGTGTTCGTGTTGATCTCTTCAAGGATGGGGATTTTTGGGTTTGGATGTTTAAGTTCAGTTGGAATTGGGGATGAAGGAGTTTGAGGAATGTTTTAGGGGTGTTCGGAGATTGTCTTTGAAGAGATTAATGCTGGATTGATAGATATTGCATGCTGGATTTAGTTAAGGTATTCTAAGACTGACGTTTCAGTGTTCGATGCATCGGTGCAATGGTTTAAGAATGGTTAATCTCAGATACTCTTGAGATATTAAAAATTCATAACTGTGATTACCATAATTTCCAGTTAGAATACTATCAATTCTATGATTCATTTCCAAACAATATGGCAATAGAATATCAAACTATTGTTCTTATTCCAAAACCAATGGCATCGATGCATTGAATGATCACTCACGATTCTCCCTTTCCCTTCAATCGAGAATCGGCAGAATCCGAATTTCGATAAGAAGGGTAAACGGAGAACAGTGTATCCTCGTGAAACGCGCGGAAGTGGAACTTCCACGCGAAATCGAGGCTGCAAGAGTACATAGACTGAAAGACGACGACCGCTACTGTTGCAACGACGACGACGACGACGACTACGACGACGACGACGAAGAGGACGACGAGGAGGAACGGATGACGTACGAACGCGCGAGGATCCGTAACCGCTAATGTGTGTCTGGTTTCAGCGTCCATACTGCATGACCTCAGCGACATGCAGCCTCAAATAAACGCGATCAAAATAGAGCACCCGCCGTACTACTGCAGCAGCTACACCCCTCCGTCCGCAGCCACGGCCGCGGATCATGCTCAGCCAGCGGCTAGCTTCAGTGAGTTTCAAAACCTCTACGTTCGCCCTTATTTTTAGTGGACGCACGCTCTGTCACCCGGTTCCGCGGCGGCGAGTCGCTCCGCAGCTGCATCCGAGATGCGCCGCGACCGGACCAGACGCGACGCGGCCGATCTGCATGCGATGCAACCGCGACGATCGGTTCACTCGACGGTTGATCGGATTTATGTGTCGTCTAGGCAATTGGAATTTCGGTGCTTGGGATTGAAATGTTTTGACAGCTTTTGGAAGCTGTTTGATTTGATCGGTTGGGATTTTTAGCGGGATTCGAAGCTCGAGATTTGAAGCGTTCAGATTCGACACGTTGAAATTCAAAGCGTAAGCAATGAGATTCGATGGGTTAACGTTCGAAGCGCTGAAATTTGACAGGTTGAGATTCTAAAGGTAGAGATTCGACGCGTTGAAATTCAAGGCGCAGAGATTCGACATGTTGAAATTCAAAGCTCAGAGATTCGGCGCGTTGAGATTCGATGCATCCGAGTTTAAGATGTTGACATTGTAAGCAATGAGATTCGATGGGTTAAGGTTCCAAGCGCTGAAATTTGACACGTTGAGATTCTAAAGGTAGAGATTCGACGCGTTGAAATTCAAAGCGCAGAGATTCGGCGCGTTGAGATACTGAACGCTGAGAATCGACACGTTGAGATTCGATGCATTCGAGTTTAAGATGTTGACATTGTAAGCAATGAGATTCGATGGGTTAAGGTTCCAAGCTTTGAAATTTGACACGTTGAGTTTCCAAACGTAGAGATTCGACGCGTTGAAATTCAAAGCGCAGAGACTCGACGCGTTTAGATTTGATGCATTCGAGTTTAAGATGTTGACATTGTAAGTAATGTAATTTGTTGCGATGGGATTCGATGGGTTAAGGTTCCAAGCTTTGAAATTTGACACTTTGAGATTCTAAAGGTAGAGAATCCACACGTTGAAATTCAAAGCGCAGAGACTCGACGCGTTCAGATTCCAAGCGAGAATCGACACGTTGAGATTTGGCATCGGAATTTAACGCGTTGAAATTCTAAGCGTGGGAGATTTGACATGTCGAGGTTCCAAGCGTTGAAGTTTCGCGCGTTGAGATTCTAGAGGTGGAGCCCCGACGCGTTGAAGATCCAAGCGCCAAGATTCAACGCGTCGAGATTCTAAGCATTGAAATTCGACGCGTTGCGATTCAAAGCGGTGAAATCCGCCGCGTCAAATTCTAAGCGGCGAGAGTCAACACATTGCGATATCAAGCTCAAAGGAGCATCAACACGACGTCATTCAAAGCGCCGGAGAGATACAGTGCGCGGCGGATCGCGGAAAATCGGCGCGTTGTGTGTTCGAAGCGGCTGGGAATCAACAAATCGTTAATGCGAACGCGCCGAGGAGCGTCTCGGCGTTTTGCGATCGGAAGGATTCTAAATCCGCCGGCTCGTAACTCGAAACGTTCCGAATCGTTGCGTTTTGATTCGCGTCGGCCCGTATCGAACACACACGTCACGCGGAAAGCGATGCATCGGGACGGCCGACGCGCTCGCTCGCCGCCCCCGTCTCGCTCCACCCCGCGCCGCGGAGACCTTGTTTACCGGTCGCCGTTTGCGAAACCATGATTTTACAGTATTTTTATCCTTTTTCCCCGTCGCGGTCACTAAAATTAAACCATCCGAGGACACTTATCGCTATGCGGAATCGCGCTCTGCGGCAGCGTGCGTCCATTCAGCCGCCATAGTGGCCGGGATTACACAATACTGTTAAGCTCGTACACACCGGAATAGGAAATCGACGTGCATGCGAGGAAGAAGGCTCTAAGTGATCCAGGTTTTCCTTCTGATACATGAGTTTGTGGTTCATGGTAATTTGTGAGGTAATTCTCGAGCGATTGAATTTTGTGGAATTGTAATAGATGGATTTTTGTGCGAGGTCTGTGTAATGGAGGCAATGAAATTAAAGAATCTACTATAATTTGTAGAGTCAGGGATTCAGTTTTCTTTAGGTTTAGATCTGAAGGGTTAGATTTGAAAGTGTAGATTTTCAAAAGATTCGAATTCAGAAGGTTAGATCTGGGATTCCAAATTTAAAAGCATGGATCTTCTAAGAGTTCAAATTTGATAGCTTATCTCTTTTAAAGGTTCAAACCTACAAATTTAGATTTTCTAAACGTTCAAACTTAAAAGCTTGAATCTTCCGAAGATCCAAATTCGAAAGCTTATCTCTTCTAAAAGTTCAAACCTACAAATTTAGATTTTCTAAACATCCAAACTTAAAAGCTTAAATCTTCTAAAGATCCAAATTCCTATAACTTCATAACTTAATTCCTCTTCTTTATGCATTTATTGCACTCATATCTCAACTGCCTAAAACCTAGTACGTAGGTCTAATAACAGTTATATTAACCACCAAAGGGGCGACTTAATATTGAATAATTGAACCAGTCGATACTTACACGTAGCAGGGATCGAACCCGGATCGCGTCGGCCCGGTTTAAGTAACAAATTCGCGGCGGTCATAGGTCGGACGTTTTTTGTCCCCGGGTTCAATCTCATCCGGCGGCTTATCGGGCCGTCCTTTGTTATCGGGATCTACTTTGCTCAGCGTTCTATAGATCATTTTCCCTATATTTCTCCCTTTC